CGACCACACAGTCATCACAAGCATGATTATATGCTGTGACCAAAACTGATTTGCTACCAGCAGATTGTAACCTGTTAGCATCCCAGAGCCAGACACAGATCAGTTGCTCTGTTATTAAGCATTAAGGTCCAAAGCTTAATGGCCACTTGAGTTTTTGGACACAAAATCGAGGCCCATTGATTCCATCGCAAAATCAAACCTGTTATATTTTTTCTTCCATCAAAACGAAAAAAAGTAAATTGCCGGCCTCCTCGATGATTCACCGGTTGTTAAAGCAGCAGGAGTTGTGAGGAAGAACAATGTGTTTCCGAACACTCTGCAACTCTGCATGAAGATGTCACATGTTTGATCTGATCCTCCGCAAAGCAAGGAGTGAACTCATTATGTTATTATGGACTGTACAGCTGATTCATTCACACCCTACAGAGATAATGGTCTCATCCGTCAGCGGACTGAGCACCTTTAATTAAGAGAGAACTGTGAACCTAAAATATCCCCCGCTCAATTATTAGAAGAGCAGGTTATACAAATGATGACACAGCCACTGCAATCTGTAGCTGCTTTTCACCTGGGAGGGTCTCAAACCTCTGAGCTGTTTGCATAAACACTAGTGAGGTCTGGTCAGCCATTGTCTCAGCTTTGGTCCACTCTAGAAACCTGGCAATTAATTCGGACATGTTACAAAACAAATGTATTTTTATTTTAATTCTGCAGCATATTGATGTGGACAAATCAATGCTTCATAAAGGAGGCTAGCTGCTATTTTGTCCTCACGTCCATATTGCAGTGGGAATATTGTGGTCTCTGGAGCCAAGCGGCCACCAAGTACATTGATCACTGATACATACGGCAGTGGCCTCTGCAGTTGAGTACAATTCTATTGATTTTGCCGTCTCCAATAGGTTATCCTCAGCCCTTTTAGGAGAAAAAAATAATGTTCAAAGAGCCCCGTTGCTATTCTGCGTGGGTCTTCCAAGCAGTATTGATTCTGACTATATCTTCAGATACCAGGTTTTTGATATTTCAAACAGCAAAAACCAAATACATATGAATTGTACACAGAAACTGATGTGAGTCATTCACATCCGTTTCCTGTGCTTGTGAACAGTGTGATAATGTAAAAGCTAGATCATACATAAGTATGTAGTTGTCGAGGAGGCTATTTTAGACCTGATAAATTCTTCACAGAGCATGTTCACACCAGAAATGATGAGGACCATAAATGAGATAATTAAACTTCCAATCCAAGTGGATTAATGAATAAATGAATGATAGATACTCAGAAATATGTTGACACAGACATGTTTCAATTCAGAACATTTGCTCGGTATGTTTATCATGTTGTGGTCAGCTGTCGCTGATTTGACATCACCACTGAGTGTCTCACACAAGCGTCATCTTTCACTGGGGTTCATTTGCATGCAGTTTTTCAGGCTATGAATTCCGGTACCTCAGAGACCAATTATGTGAGCGTGGCATCATCAAGCCCTCACACCATAACCAGCCACATATTGCCGGCTAATTACCTGTACTAACTCTTGTAGCAGAGGAGCAGAACTGATTCTCATGGGCTTTTGATCTTCCAGTAAGACATCGACAACACCTTAAAAGAATAAACAAGAAGCATTTTAGCCCATTGCATTTGGGAATTCTCACATCTTCCAAAATATTATAGCATTATACCATTGGGGATATTTGGATATATGGACCACAACATCTTCTACAGCTACTTCATACAATCATATAACCAACTCTTTCTTGATAAAAAAAAAAGTTTGACAACTTGACAAATATTCTTTAAGATAATTTAAGATAATCATTATGAACTGTATAAAAAGGGATGATGAAGTACTCCCTGTCCATATTAATTAAGAATAAAAACATTGATTTCATTGCTTTATTGCCACATAGGTCAGTGTCCCACAGTTGTTTGTGTAGCTGCAAAACACAACTTTGATGAAAAGGTCAGCCATTGAAATGACATTTAAATGTCTTTGCCTTAAAGGGGCGTACTAATCATTCTCAGTATCCTAATGAGCAGCACCTGTCACCTCCCTCGGGTCTAATCACGCAGGTACAGGGGATGCAGGTTGCTGAGGATGAAGCACAGAGGGGGATGGGACCACTAATACAGACTTACCACTCAGTGACATATCAAGAACACAGAGCCTAAATATGGCCACCCTTCATTAAATCTCATTTCCAAGAATAGGGGGCAGGCTGTGCTCTTGTAGGTATGAATAATGGAAGCGGCCTCCAGGAGCTCATTTCCAGAATGATCATCACGCTAAAGTATGGCCCAATGATCACACAGATAAAGTGAGAGGCTGACATTCATGATTAATGCCCTCAGGTCTGTCTCTAGAGCTACACAGCCTCCTCTGTCAGATCCTCCGTTCCCCAAGTACACAGCATCAGATGCTCACATGAAATAAGATACATTCTGAGTCAGTCAGATGCATCATTGACATTTGTCACTGTGCACGCAGATAGCTGTAATAGCACATAGGCCTATATACTGTATATACACACAATAACGACGAAACTCGAAGCAAATTCAAACAATATTCGTGTGATGTTGTGTGTTGTTGTAAATATGACAAACCCATTCACTGTAAGAGAACTAAACCTTCTCTTCACTTACAGGGTTCATCTTTGCTTTGAAGGGAGATTCATTCATACACAATTAACATTCAGTCTGTCACATGTTTAAACAAGATACATCTTGTTAGGTGCACTGTTTCCTTTTTTTTTTGTATGTACTTGTGTATTTGCAGACAATACTATGAACTATTTTTGGTCTCTGAACATGTTGGATATAAATACACATACATATGTAAATATATAATAGAAATATAATGTAGGAATGATCTATAACAGATGTATTACTTTTACTTCAATTTATCATTTCATATTTCTATTTTTCTGCATCATCACTGTACAGCAACTATTGAAATTACATTATATTTCATCTTTATGCAGATGTCTTTGCCATAATCTGTTTTTGACATTTATTTGTTATTGTTGTCAGTTTTATATTATTATTCATGTATATACTACTGTATATATCCTTTATAACTTAAAAGACCACAATAAAGATCAAGTCAATTCTTCATATAGCCCACTAGGTGGCACTGGTGTGAAAGAAAAACAAAATCACTGGCCTGCAACTGCTGCAACTTCTGAAGATACTTTTTCTTTTTCAATTTACATGCAAAATGAAAAATGCAAATAAATGCTCGCAACATCTCAACAAGGAGATGGTGTAAGTATAAGAAGTCACATGCATACAATGCAGGGTTCATGTATGCAGAAATCTTATAGTTTGGGATATCAAAAGTTGATGATATGATTTTAGAACTTACTTCACACTTCAGATTTACCTACACTAACATTTTAACTGAGGACTCAGTCATTGACTCATTCAAACCACGTCACGTTTCAGTTTGTCCACCTGACACACCACTGAGTCAAGCACTGCTTCAAAGACATCTGTATCTCTGCTGATGAAGGACATGGTTTTGTGTTACATGTCTACATACAGCATATGATTTTCTGACAGCACGCCTTATTTGTCTGTGTGAACGGTCCATCCATCAGGTCATCTCACCGTAAGTCTGCTGGAATCCCATGATCCCATAACCCCGTCGCTGGCCGACCACAGAATTGATCCCAACATACCAGCTGTGACTCTGTTACATGAGATGTTTCGGACCTAACCGTAATGGATGGCTGGGAGGCATGTCACTTCACTCTCTACCGATGACAAAGCTACAGAGGACTTGGCTCATGTTTCAGTGAGACATGGCTGAAATATTTACAGTCACCAGCCTGGGGATAGACTCCATCAGGCCCAACACAGACGAGAGACCCGAGCGTGCTCTAAATGTTTGCTCTAATCTCATCTTATGCCAGTAACTCACAGGTTGTCATTGAACAGAAACATACTACTGTAGAATCACAGAGTCACTGTTCGGTATGCAGATGCTCTAATAAGGACTTGAGATTCAGCTGTGTCATAATGTCTTCTTCTTGGATTTAAAGGGGCACTCCATCAATTTTACACACAGTCAGTTTACACCAGGAGGAGTAATACGCTTTGCTGTTTCTACTTATTTACTCTGAGACAAAAAACTGAAAATAAAATGTCCTGCTTGGGCTGAGAGAGATTTTAACAGAGAGCTTGTGTTACAAACTAGTGTTTGACAGACTTTCATCAGACAGGAAGGATCAAAAGCAGAATCTTGTGGTTTTGGAGATTGACATACACTAGAGATTTAAAGTCAGGATGTCTTGACCTCTTTTGCTTCATTTTGTCCACCCAACTTGATTGAAGTGCAATAGTAAATTGTTTTGTACTTTGATATGCAATGGAGTGCATAAAATTTCATGTGTTATTATCGCAGTAATTCTACTTCAGTGATTCTTTAATGAGATAGGCTACTGAAACACAAACAGGCTTACAGATCTCAGACTGACCCACTTGTTGATTATGACTCCTTTCTTACCATCTGTGTGGAACTGGCCTACATTGTGTCACTGCCAAAAATGAATTTAGTTCATGTCAAATTATCCCTCCAGTCTCTTTCAGCCCAGCTGGGCCCAAACAACATTACTGTTGTGAGACTGAATAATGGACCAGTGGCCAGATGAAAAATTTGTAGAAGTGCAATTAGTTGTCAAGGGCCACTGGTATTCGTGGACCTTTTAGTCAGGGGCATCACACTGTAAAAAGCTGTATAGAACATGTTCATAGCTCTCTTGTGGTATGTGCTGAATGGCCATGAACGCACCTTGAAAGTGGGATCACAGTTAAAAGAGGCCATTTATGATAAGCCAGCTCTAAAAGAAAAAAGGATGGCGATGACTTATATCTAAGAATTGCACTGTGATGGAAATGCATTTTTTTTACTTTATAAAAACTGACAACAAACAGTCGTGTTCATTAATTTATTACACAAAAACTCAATTTACAATACATACAAGTGAACAGAAATAAATGTATTTTTGTGTTGAAAACAGTGAATGTTTTTTTTTGAATGAGCTAAGATACAAGTAAAACTGGACTTAAGACATTTGACTTACGTTTATGTATATTTACACCATAAACAAATTGACACTAACAAGAACTAATAATTCCATTAAAAATTTAACAGTGAAATTTGTTTCACATATGTATATTAAGTATTTACTGTCTTTATATAGACATAAAATGAAATGCTATAATTATCCCCTTAGACAGTAATTTACAGAAATTCAAATGTCCTATACTCAATACAGTACACAGATAGATCTGTATAGTGTACAGGTTTCAGGTAATTATTCTTGATGTGGCAAATGAAGAGGTTAACAGTAAACACTGTGTTTACACAGACATTGCTGTATGTTAAGATGAAGAACATGTAAACATTTGGTTATGAAGACCTGCTACCATCTTGTCATCCTGCGGTACCAGACCCTTTTATCTGTCAATACTTTGGACAATACACCTCTTGTCCTCACATGCAGTCGGCACAATGACAAGAAAAGACTTTAACTCTGTGTCAATACTCGCATGTCAAACGACAGCTCAGAGACTTTTAAGACTGCAGTTATGAGGGGAAGCTGCCTACATTACTGTGTATGTGCTTACATTGGCTTCTCAGTTCCTGTCAACAATAATACAGTTGTATCTTCTCATGCCAGAAAACAGTAGCTCCAATTTAGAAATGGCAGAACGCCATCTATCATCAGATGGTTTTGAGGGTGAAAAAGATAAACAAAGTTGCCTCGACCAGTAAAAATGCTGCATAATCAGCCGCCAATCAAAAAGATACTGTTGCTGGTTCTCTATGTCAAGTGCAAAGTGTCAGCTGCTAAGTGTGCGTCAAAAAGGTGCAAAGTCACACTGTTTTGTAACCGGAACACTGTCGATCAACACACTTGTTGCTGGTTGTTGCTCTCAGGAAGTGCTGCTTCTCTTTCTGGTCCTTGGTCTTCTCTTCAAGATTTCTTCTTCTTGGTCACTTTCACAATCTCTCTGAAAAACAATTGTGTATCATTATAGCTATTGCTATGGAGGTGAAAGATTTTGATAAATAAACAGAACTCACAAAATGTATTGTATTGAAAAAGCAGGGTCCAGAATTAGTAACAGCACCCTAAAATATCTGCTTAAACATGTAATGTCTTGAGACCAGAGTAATACAGTTCATAGTAGGTACAGTAGTATTTACAGCATTATGGCTGTAAACAAATACAACATCTACTATAATTATCACAGTTACTTTTAAAGAAATAGTTTAACATCTTAGGATATATGCTTACTTGCTTTCTTGCTAACAGTTAGATACTAAGGTCTATATAATTTTCACGTCTGTACAATAAATATATGGCTTCAGCAAGCAGCTGGTTAATGTAGCTTAGCATAAAGACTGGAGGCAGATGGAAACAGCTAGCATGGCTCTGCCCAAAAGTAACATCTACCTACCAGCACCTCCAAAGCTCACAAATAAACACTTTATATCTTGTGTAAAGAGTAGAAATGAAAAATTGTGGATTTACAAGGGTTTATAAGCCAGACAATTTTTTTGCCAGAGAGTTGTGATTTCCTTAAGCCTCAATTTGTTGACGAGCAACTTCAAACAAGAAAAATGGTCTGGCACATGACCCCTCATAAAACCATAACTTGTCATTTTTACTCCTTAGTTTTTGTATAAATTAAACAAAGGAGATATAAAGTGAGCTTTTGATGTGCTGGTAGGTGGATTTTGTTACCTTCAGTCAGAGCCAGGCTGTTTCTTCCTGGTTCCAGTCTTTATGCTAAGCTAAGCTAACTGGCTGCTGGTTGTAGCTTCATATTGTACTGTACAGACATGAAAGTTGTATCAGTTGTGTCAATTTACTCCCAACAAGAAAGTGCAATGTAAAATTCCTAAAATGTCAAACTGTCCAGACTGAGTCATGGCTGTCATCTTAACAACAGTGTTTTCTTACCCCATCTTGCTCAGGCAGCTTGTTGCCCTTCTTCATGATCCGCGTTAAGTGGTTGCACAGAGCCACAATTCTGAATGACAACTGTAAAAGAAAAAGTCTCCAAATCAAACAAGAGTAACATTTTTATAGAACCCTGATTTGCTTTAAAGAAATAATCCAACTGTGCTCCAAATACTGCACTTTACCTTCCACCTGCGTCTGGCGTACTGTCTCCTGAAGTTCTCCAGGTTTACCACTGACAACCTCTTCACCATGGCCTGTCTGGGATTCAGAGGCTGCAGAGACACATTGAGGTATGAAATGGCAGAAGAAGTATCTCTCATGTTAATCTCAAATTAAGTTCATAAACAGAATGCTCATCATCTGGTTTTCATTGGAGAATAAAAAAACATAATACAAAAGGAAATAAACACAGATTAATCACAGTAACAGTGTTGATGGGCTATATAATAAATAATGAACATTTATTTCAGTGCTTTTGACAACAGTGTGCATATCAAAGGCAAGACAAAAAAGTGTCTATTTATATCTGTTGAGAAGCTAAAAAAAAAGACAAAAAACACCGATGAAGAAGTGACGCATTGTTAAACACTCAAGATCTTATCATAGATGTTGTTTTTCCTGTCGGCTCATAGAACATCTCCAAGAAAGAAATAAAAAAGATTTTCAAAACAAACTAAAAAAATTAACTTTCATTAAAAGGGCACATTTGAATCTATATGAAATAATGTGAAAAAAATCATTTATAACTACAAAAGTTACTTTACAAATGGAAAAAAACATCAATGTACAGTCTAAAAAAGTAGACTGGAATGAAAAAATAAACCAAAAGTTGTGAACTTCTGTTACATTCCATTGAAAAGAACCGTCATTTTATCCTGTGTCTTTGTCTGGCCATGACACAATAAAAACATTCATAACCAATATTTACCTTCATTATCACTAAGCTGTCAAAATAAAAAGCCACAAAACCCGCTTCATCAAAAAGAGCAGTGCATAAGTTTAATCGTCTGTTAATATCACTTCAAGTTCAGAATAATTCCTAATATTGTGCCGCAGTTTGCCACTTAAAGGAATAGTTTGACATTTTGTCAAACGTGCTTATTTGCTTTCTTGCTGAGTTAAGATCAATACCTTATATCTGCCTGTTAAATATGAAGCTGCAGCCAGACGGCAGTTAGCTTAGCTAAGGACTGGGAGCTAAGCTATCAACTACCTGTTAGCCTGACTCTAGATGCAAATGTAACAACAAATACATGTTGTATATCATTTGTTTAACCCAAACAAAAAACATAGTGTTAAGATGACTTTATGCAGGGTTCTGTGCTACACCAACAATTTCCTGAAGCACTGTCATCAGTCACCACACATGGCCAAGAAAGTCCTTTACATAACTCCCCATAAAACCACAATGCATTGTTTTTACACTTCGCTTTTGTAATGCTTGGACAAGCAACATGTAACAAGTTAAATATGAGCTTTAGAAGCGCTGATAGTTTTTTTTTTTTTTTTTTACAATCAGAAAGAGCTAGGCTAGCTGTTTAACCCTGTTTCTAATCTTTGTGCAAAGCTAAGCTAACCCTCTCCTGCCTGTAGCTTCATATTTACTGGACAGACATAAGAGTGGTATTCATCTTCTCATCTAACTCCTGCCAAGAAAGTAAATGTGCATTTCCACACAATTCTATTTGTATACGAACTACTCTTTTAACTGAAAAGTATTGTTTACAGAACACAAAAGCAATAAAGTAAATGTAAAGACTATAAAGCTATACATTCAAAAATTTGTGTTGCTGAAAAAATCACTGTGTTGAAATCAAACAGACTCATTTTCGAAAACATGTTAAGAGCTTGAAGTTCAATAAAAGCGTGTCATCTTCAGATCTTCATCTGTGTGCCTTAGCCAGACTCTGTGAGTGGCTGTTCCTCAGGGCACAGTTCCCCTCCACAGGACTGATGCAGCAGCTCCTTCAGTGCCTGCTTCACATCCATGTTCAGACTGCTGCTGTGGATGCTGCTGTTAGCTCCTTCTGGATGCAGAGAGCTCATCACCTCCTGCAGCCACTGCATTTCAGAGTTCAGCTCCTGCCTCAGAGCATCCAGCTGGCTCTGCCTCTGGTTGTGCTTTCCGCTGATACTCTCCAGACTGGCATCTACGGCTTTCATGTCCTCCTGCAGCAGCCTCCTAGTGGCCTCCACTTTACGAAACTCATAGTGGATCTGGGAGAGCTGCTTCCTCGCAGTCTCACTCTCCTCCTTGTACCAGGCCTCCTTGTCATTGTAGATGGAGAGCAGTGCCTCTAAGTCACCCTGGAGAGTGTGGTGGGATCCTGCCACCTCTGATAGCCCCGTCTCCATCAGGCTAATGTCTTCCACCACGTGGGCAAAACGCTCAAAGTTGGCATATGTGTTGTTCTGGGGCATGCTGGAATGCAGCTGGATGGTGTACTCCTTCAGACGCTTCGTCTTCAGCTGCTCCAGTTTCTTCTCAGCCTCGGGGGCGGCGCTGTCCTCCTCTATGTGGCCACAGGACTTCAGACAGAAGGGTGGAGGGGGGACACTGAGTGAGAGGCTGTCTCATTGGTGATTCACCAATTTTTCAGAGATTCAGCGGTGAATATCCCAGCAGACTTGGTACTGTAGGATTAGTGTGTGACCCTACAGCAGAAGCCATGGCAGGTAAGAGCGCCAAAAACACAACAGACATTCCAGTTGAGTGCGTTAAGTTTCCCGGTTTCATGCGAATGTATCCAAACAGGATGAAGACTCCATAGCAAAACACTATTCCCATGCATTTCAGCAGCCAATATTGGAGTAGACGTCTTTGAGATTACAGGTTGTTAAATGTCCATGCCGTTAAAAACACAATTAGTGAGATGTTGCTTCACCTTGATAACTTGAATATCTAGACAAAGGGACTATTTCAGACTGCAAAAAACAACCGTACAAGATGTGTTGTGCTCACTGTGTTGATAGCTGATAGGGGAGAAAATACTCCCAGGGGGGTGGGGCTTGGTGGGGTTGGAGTGATGGAAACAATACACTGTACAGCAACTGTTATAAACTACGTTTTCAGCGAGCTAGAGCATATTACTTAACTCCTTTGAGCCTGTAGTCTTTTTTTTTCTTTTTTGAACAAACAAACCTGTTACCCTGCTTGACATGGACTGTTACGTGTTGTCTCACATGTCTGGGTGGACTGTTGACCATAGTTATTAAGAACACCAAAAACATGCCATAATACAGCATAAATCAAGTGCATACCTTAATCCAGGGATGGTTGAGGGCGTCTTGTATGGTCATCCGTTTTCTGAAATGATGGGAGAGAGAAGAGGAAAATGCAGCTGAGTAAATACACTTGAACAACTCCGTCAGAGCATGTTGGTCAGTCATACACTGGACTGTGAGTCTCTGGGGTATATGTTGCAGACCAGTATCACTTTCACAGCAATATTCGGTTTCCGTAAAATCTTTTCAGTGGAAACACATGTTAAGCAAAGAGAACAGAATCACATGGTACAAAGAAAGACAGGTATTACATAATGCGCTGTCTGAGGTAATACGTTTACTGTGTAAATAAAGTTTATTTAGCTTATCTTCATTAGTGTATCACATTGTGTACCCAAATCCTTGCTCTGGATTTCTGGGGACTGATTGGCCTTTCATTCTCAGTTGGATCAGGACTGCACATTTTATGCACTCAGGATTTATGGCAGTGAAACCTCTAATGCTGGGCTTTGTACTGGAATTGTCAGACTTGACCTTTGGCCTTCAGCTGTTTGTCAGCGACCCATTTTTTTTTTTTTTTTTTTTACCTCGTGTCCTTCTCCAGAAGTTGTTTGATGAAGCTCTTGGCCAGCTCGCTCGTGTTGCTGAAGAACTCTTCATCGAACTCATAGTTCATGGCAGAGATGTTCCCCAGTGTTTCCTGCTTTGTGTCTCCAAGGAAAGGCGACGCGCCGCTCAAACTGAAACAACAACACAGACATTCACACACTGACTAAGACCTTCCTCGATAATCTCTTTAGGTACATTAAGATTCCCATTCATAATCATGAATCACCCCAACTTACAGTATATATGTGATGACTCCAATGCTCCTGTGAAAAACAGCACAAGGTTAATCCAAAGTTATGCACTGCAACCTGTTGTATGGAAGGCAGCAGAGTCAGAGGTAATTAAAGGATCTTACCACATGTCTGCCTCCAATCCCAGTTGCTCATAGTTGACTATCTCTGGAGCTGAAAATAGACAGCACACACACACACACACACACACACACACACTGCATCACAAACAGGCCAAACACCGAGCCTCCTCTTAAAATGTCCTTCAGTGCAAAACATTTCTCATAGAGAACACTTACCAACAAATTCGGGAGTGCCAAAAATATTTTTGAAATCTGCCCCAGCTTCTATTTTGTGCGCCAGTCCAAAGTCTATGAGTTTGATGCGGGGCAGGGTAACGTTCCTGTCCAGCAGCATTATATTCTCAGGCTGAAGTGCAAAAACAACAAAACACAAAGGCACATTCGTCAGAAGATTTCCTCCAGTACCAAGATTGGGTAATACATAAAGAAGGCTAAATAACAGAAGTTACCTGATTACAGCCACCTTGTGCGTAAGCATTAAAGAAAGACATTGCAATAATTAAAGTCATACTTGTTATATAATATTAAAAGGAGAATTTTCCAATTTTCTGTCAATCTGTCTTTTCCCTAAAATCAATTAAGCTTAATTTTTTTTGCAAATTTAGAGAAGTTCAGACTTTACTGTGTTGCTGTGAACGGCATCAAGAGTGAAGAGGAGTCGCAGCTGTGTATAAACAGGACAGTGACTTTCAGAGAGCAGCGTGGGTGGCACCGCTCTCTGAAAGTCAAGAGATAACCTATTGGTGTGTGTATCTGAGAGTCTGGACCTCAGCCACAGAAAACAGGAAGGATGTGTGATTCAGAAAAGCGAGACCTTACTGACACGTACATCAGACACCTGCTATATATATATATATATATATATATGTATGTTTCACATGGTCCTGCTCGTCCTTGCGTGTACGTAACATTGCAGTTGTTATGGAGGTTAAGAATTTCATCTCCAACGCGAGACAAATATAGTTTTGCGTGTGATGCACAGATGGAGCATGTTGTACCTTTAGATCGAAGTGTGCGATCCTCTTGGAGTGAAGGTACTGGACTCCATCCAGGACCTGTTTGATAAACTGAGTGGCCTCCTCTTCACTGAGAGACTCCTTCTGAGCCAAGAAGTCAAACAGCTCTCCTCCAGAGACCCTGCAACACACACACACACACACACACACACACACACACACACACACACTCCTGTGACTCATCCTGTGGGCTCAAATAATCTGGAGTGAGGGCTGGCTTCAATTTTATCTAAAGTGTGTTCTCAGGATGTGGATGGGCTTGTCCTGGATGCCTTACATATGTTTGTTTGTGGTAAACATTTGGGTCTGTCTTGCATCACCTTGTCCTACTTATGAATCATTGTAGTTCTACATTAACTTCGTAAAGAGCTGCAAACAGTATAAAGCGTCCTTTGACCACCAGGCAGCCCATAAGCATGATGTTCTTTTACATTCATACAAAGGAAACATAATAGATGAATAACTGAATGATGCACAGTGTGTCATCCTGCAGCTAACAGTCTGTCAGTCAATTCACCCCTGCTTTGATTGGACTGAGCTTTTAATTAGTCCTAATTGGGGCCCTCCATGTTCCCAGGCACTCTCTGGCCCTCTGAGGCCTCTTTTCAACACAAGCACGTCTGACTCTGTGAAAAACATTCGGTTCTTTCTGGCGCACACGATCCCGGCAAAAAGGATTTCAAACAAACAATTTATGCTAAACAAACTCACGGGTCACAGATCAGATTGTGTGTAGATGTTTGGATATTTGAAGGTGTAACAAGCATCTGTTCTTTTAATCGTGGGGATATTGTGACTTGTTGGACCATGCGGTGACTCACAGTTCCAGGATAAGCACCACGTCCGTGCGGTTCTCGTACACGTCGTGCAGCGCTACGACGTTGGTGTGCTGGAGCTCCTGCAGGATGCCCACTTCCCTCTCAATCTCCTCTCTTCTTACGCCCCGTCTGCTGGCCCGACTCTGGCGCTTCTTGATGAACTTGGCAGCATATTCAGTGCCTGTGCTCTTCTCTTTGCAGCGCTTGACTATTGCAAACTGCCCACTGCGGACACAAAAAGACATTATTTAATGCTATTATTACTGTTTTTCTTTTAATGTGGCAAATGATTAATCTCTTACGATCCTTTATTTGTGTTAAGCTTTGTAAATCATTTCTAAAAAAATCCTTAACAATTAACAGCAGGATACAGCTACAGGTGAAGACAGATGTCAGGGAGGAAGCCGTGTGTCAAACCCAGCTGAAATATTGTGGTAGAGTTCATCACTTCCTGTTTCCTAGCCAGACAAAGAACAATCAGACGGGCCAGCAGTGTGGACAGAGCTGCTGTCCTCCCACTCCAGCAACTCTTCCTGCCAAACTTCTGGCCATCCTCAAATGATCAGTCCACTGAAAAAATCCCAGAAACTCTAAATATTTCACAACAGAGGTGTGGCTTGGAGACCATCTCTCAGTGGAAAATTGTATCATTTATCACTGTGCTATTGTTTTTTTACATGGTAGAGTTTGACTAGGACTCCACCAGTAAATTCAGTGTAACATGTTTCCTTCATCGTCACTGTCCCCTAACATAACCACATAGTCATTTCACTCATAATTGACCCACTGACAAGCTGAATGAAATCTTCCAGCACCGTCGCCCAGTTAAATATACAGTATGCTGTGAGTCTCCACGACTTAATCATCAGACCAGTCCTTGTAATCTCAGACTTGACTCAGCCTGCTGCCACTCCTGCTGCTTTACATGCTTCCTGCTGCTGTGGGCTGACCTGCCCACTCCATACATTCAGACTGTGAAAACAAGCCTGTCAGTCACTGATCAGTCAGTAATAAGCCACAAAAAGACATGAGAGTGATTGTGGTGTGACAGATAGCAAAGACTTTCTGTGTATGGAGGATGAGCATTGTCTTTGAATACTCAGTCATGTGTATAAAGAACATGGCTGGATGAAATATACTAAAGCTGATGGACCCATGAGTTTGCAAATTCTGCAATGCAACAGAGACGCCTCGTATTTTTAGAAACAGTGAAAGAACACACAGAGGGGGGAGGACGAGATAATCGCTGGCAGGCATTTCATATATTTTGGACATAACTGTCCACACAGAGATTCCAGGGTGGCTGTGAGAGGCTGTCCGGTCTGTGTCCACTATCATCATGGTGTCTAGTGGGCTAAGAATAGCCCTGCTTTTCTCCACCTGCCACCTCTCTGCTGCTGTTAATGCTGCTGCTGCTGCTGCTGCTGCTGCTGCTGCTGCTGCTGCCAGGGAGAAAGAAAAGGCCTGCTGAGCCGGAGGAGTGGAAAGAGAAGACGTGTGGAAAGGATGAGTGTTAAGAGGGGCTGCGGGATAAAGGACAAGAGTCTAAAAACATATGGATACCCACTCTGCTGCTGCCAGTGTCCTGCTGTCATATCACAGCAGTTTCCACTTGTACTTTCAAAGAGGGCTTACACAGAGATAGCTCCAGCGCATCACAAAACAAATACATGGATTAAATGCAATCAAACGACAGGATCGGCTTTGCGGTTTAAAGTAGCCCCGGTGAATTGTTAGCCTTTCTGTAACTGCATCAGTGTGGGACGGGTGAGCCAGTTTGCTCCTTTTGAGACACACCCTGTCCTGTGCTTACTCAGTTGTATGATCACATGTGGCCTATTAAAATTGCCTTGCTCAAAAACAACAAAACAACATTTACTGAAGTGTATTTTACCAGCCCAGATCCATCAATTAAACTGGATGAACAACTTTCAATATTATGCAAATGAGTACAGCAACAATCCACAGTAGTGATAGGTGAAGTCTGTGCAGGTTTTTGGGGTTTAACTTCACTACAATGCTTTCGAACACTCTCACAATTTATGACTCAGTATAGCTTAGAGAGGTATCTTGTCAACTGCAAAGCCCCAGGCAATTATTAAGATCATTTAATTTGTATCAGAGCAACAAAACAAGATCAGATTTTGCGAACATGTCCCAACAGGGAATGCAGTAGAGAGGGAGAGAGAGTGGGGGAGGCATGTAAATCGTAACAAAGAGTCACACATGCTGCGAAGGGGAAAATAAAAACAGGGAGGGTGGGGTGATGAACCAAAGTAACGTGGAATCTCGAATGCTGCCTCTGAATGTTCTATTCACAGGATATCTGCACCCCTGAGACGTCCCAGAGAGGCTGACCCTGTTTAAGATGACTATGATAATGTGTGAATTGAAGAGGAGGGTAAGTCACACAATGAATTCCACTCGCAAGTACCCTCAGGAGGAGAAACAGTCACATGGCAGGAGCAGCAACAGTGTCCTTGATTTGCCTGTTTAAGCCGGACTGAACAGAAAAACCCCTCGTGTTGATGGTTGCAGCCCAAATGCGAGAAAGTGCTCAACACAAATGTCAATGTCGGGGCTAAGGGCTTTACTTTAGTGTTGTTACGACGTGTAGAGTAACAGCGGAGAGAGCAGTGATGCTGGGAGTGGTATTCCACAACGGGCCAGGCGTGCCGGCTGTCTTAGCTCTAAGCCAGCCAGTGGGGCTGAAAGTACCATCTCTCCACAGAGTTTCCACTTCCAACAGCTGAAGGTCATTATCCACAGCCAAGGTTGGAGGAATGCTCGGACAAGTGGCGCCGGCCCAATATTTAAACACATTTCTCAACTGAACAACCTCAGGGGCGGCGTGACAATGAAAGCCAGATTCATAATTGACCAAGCCCTGTCCCTAACCACCTCTACCATCTGTACATCGAACATGAGGGGAGCAGCTCAGACCTCTAAAATGTGACTCATCATTGCAGAAAACATCGTTTCTGTTTATAAGCCACTATATCTGCTATTATTATGAAACACCTCAACATTTATGCCCTCAAACTGTTCAGGACGCGGTAGATTCCTGCTGGTTTTGAAGTGGGCCAATGTCAACAAAACACCTGTGGCGTGGCAAGGCTGTATGGGTGTTTGCTGACAGTAACGGGATGACCTCTGTCAAACAGGAACTCCGGGAATGTCCAAGAGGTCAACATGGAGTTCCCTCCACTAGGCTGCACTGAATAAACACATTTTTCACCCACTCAACAGCAGGAATGTGTGTTCTTCAGAGCTGACTACATGCATTCTTGACCTGCTCCTTGTGAGTGCATGCCTACTGTCCGTGCTATAGATAAACCTAGTACTGTAAATCCCTTTGGAGAAATTCTAGCACTTTACTGCGTTCATCAGGAGCACCTGTCTGCCTCTCGACTGTCAGTTCTTTCCACTTCAACACATCAAGTGTGTGAACGCTGCTGCCTTAAATGTGCATCTCTGCCCTCGCTGCATCCTCACCCAGGAAAACAATCTTCTGAAACCTCAAAACATTTGCCTGATTCACTTCCTTTTGCATGAATTTGCCTGATGTTTCTAGAAATTACAAATTGGGAAACACTTTGCATACCAGGTGTGGTGAGACATCGCCTTTTCCCAGTTCCTGCATTAGAAATTTTAATAATTTAATGGCAAGATTCTACAACTACGCTGACATCTCTGTGAGACTGTATTTTGGGACGGTGGTTCAGTTCAGCTAGATGCTAACCTTAGCATGCTAACATGCTTAAAATGGCAAAGCTCAGATGCTGACGTTTAGCAGGTATAATGTTTACCATATTGGTTTAGCGTGTTAGCACACTTCACATTCAGTACAAAGTACAGCTGAGGCTGATGGGAATGTTGTTAGATTTGTAGGTAGCCTATTTGACTGTAAATCACAAATTCAAATTTTGACCTTAAGGCAGCACCAGATTAAAAGTTAAGGGATCACTAAAGTGATTATAATTCACCCTGAGGTGGATTTTTATGTCATGGCAATCCATCTATAGTTCGACAGTTGTCATATTACCAAGAAACAAAAATGTCATCTTCATGGTGGCGCTAGAGGAAAAGTCAGGGGATCACCAAAGTCAGTGTGATTCAGCATCTGGAGACCAAGAATGTCTGTTCAAAATTACATGTCAATAGCATCCAATAGTTGTTGAGATATTTCAGGTCAATCACAGAGTCATGCTGCCTTTGAGGCTAATAATGCCGCAGACCCATGACCGTATGAACTAACCAATGTGAAAGCTGTGAAGGAGTCACCACGGCTGAATTGTCATATTCACTATGACGTAAGAGCAGTATTTACAGATTTCAAAACTGAGAGGAAGTTTACAAGCCATTTATTTATGTTCAGGCATGCAGAGACAATGTGCTTCCTACCCAACAGTGCATCCTGTGAATTCTTCTCATTGCTTGATGATGACTAAGAAAGAGGATGTTTTTTTCATTCAGCAAGTGTTACATGACCGCCACGATATCAGCTTCTAGTAAAGGCAGAAGTAAAAGTAGTTCTCAGACCAAACATGCTCGTGGTCATGACCAAACATGGACAAGTATGAATGTGTTGTCGACAGGTAGAGTTCGCACAGTCCACCATCTGCCCAGAGGTCCTTTTTCTCAGCCATTGCCTTGATGGTAATTTGCATAACAGCTCACCATGGTCTTACCAGTCTCATGGGAGTGCTAGTGGCAGCTGTGGACTCACACTGAGACACTTCCTACTGTATGTCATCATCAGTGTCATCACTCAGATGGTAAGACAGGTACAGTTGTCAGTAAATGCCTCACATCTCAAGCAAAGGGGTGTTTCACAGATAGGTTTACCTAAAACTCTCTGTCAGCTGTGGAAAGAAACATTGAGTACGAGTGCGTGGGTTCCTGTGACATTAAAATCTGTCAACAGGGGCACGGGTGTGATGAATCGACTTTCCTGTGATGAATGGCTCAACAGTTCCATGGAGCACAGAGCATTAAATACTCCAGACCGATCAGTTTTTGGCCCCCTTCATCGAATTTCCCCACCCTCTTGAAAGGACGATTGAGTAACAGTTCCACTTTAGTGCACAATGGAGAGGTCTGAACCCATGAGGTTCTCACAACCTGTGGGCGGGCTGGGCTGCAGCCTCCAAAACCGACTAGAAAGCTGTCCCAACAAGACAGAAGAGCTACAAGCGTAAAATTCAGCTGCTGAACAGGTGATAAAATTCTCAGATGAGATCTATGTTTGGAAAAAGTCCTGTGGTTTTCAGTCACCAACATCTGCAGCTTTTAACCACATTCACTTTAAGTTTCTCTTTCTCATGAGAAGACAGCTGAACACAACAGTACAGAGCTCAGCTCACAGCTGAGTTCTCTTCTCAAGCAACATGTTTTCAATTCAGATATTGTCTTTACCTCAACCTGAAAGTTGTCCTTATTAAGGACTTATCACTAATCTATAAAGCATTAGTAAATGTTATTAACCAGTAATAAATCATTATTTCCAACTTAAAAAACCCTGAATAATGGGTGGCTTATTAGAAAGCCGTACTCATTATACTTCCAGATCTCGGTTAATCATAATAGTATTCAATCTTTTCATTCACAGATGAATTTGAATGTTTCATATGGGAAAATATGAGGAAACCCCACTGTGAAATACAATAAAAGTTTAAATGCTGGAAATGAAACCGGTTGATTGAAGTCATGCAAATGCAGCTGGAGCACCTATTTCAACAGCAGGTCTCAGTTTGTCCTGTCAGGGTGTGTCAAAGAGGCTGTGCAGCAAATGGGCAGCAAACACTGGGATATAATGTAGTGAAAGGTTACAGGTCAGACGATTTCCCTTCACACCCTCTCTATCTGTTAACAAGTGGTGCATATGCACAAGCCGTCCTTCCGTTCAAAATTAATTTGTAGCTTCCTCAATCCATATTGCACTCAGCCAACTTCCTATAATTCATTTCCCCATGGGAAAGGGTTTCCTTGATGTCTGCTCTGTGCAGGTTTGATTAACATATTTACCTTCAACACATCGATCCACCACCCAGAATCAGGTCGCGAAACATCAGCTCAAATCATATTCTCTCTCCCAGATTGAACACACTGTGGCCAAACAGAGCTTGTGTTCATGGGGTGCGTTCACTTTTGAAACTTTATCTCTCGCTGTAAACTTCAACCTACTTTAACAGAGCGGCACTCCCCATTTCAAGCTTTAACAGGCCAGCTGTTTGCATACTTACATACATACACACACGTGGACCACTGCTTCAGGAGGCACGCAGGGGAGAGCCGAATCACACTCTGACTCATAACAAAGTGAAGGGGAACAATTTTGTGGAAACAAGCTGGAAACAAACATCTTCACACTCACCTTCCTAGTTCTTCTCCAATTTCATAGAAATCATCCACATTCTGTTGCTTGAATACCGCCATGCCAGGTGTCTTCATCGATCTAGCTTATCTCCTTGATATACACCACTTCAGGCTGTCTATCTCCACAAGTCCAACCCTGTGGATTCAAAGAGGTGGATACAAGAGCGATGAAAATGTTGGCTGCACGTTCCAGCATGCAATAGAGCATTCCAACTTAGAGGTGTACCTACTTTCACCTTCCTGTTTACGAAGCCTAAACACTCTAACAAGTGCAAAGGAAAAAAGAAGTACACTTAGTCTGCCTTTTACTAGTCTAAATACTGATTATTGGCTTAAAAATTTAGTAAGTACAACTCACATTACTGTGCCAAGCTGGGCAGTATAACAGAGTTCAGTTCTTGTGATTATAACAGGATTATAAATTATAAGAAAAGAGCATTTTGGGTAATTAGGGCAGGGTATCTGTTGTGAAACATTTTGTCCAGCAAAAAGGCTGACGCTGGCAACAACATATTCTTTGTAAATTTTTAGAAAATAACCATTATTCCTACCATGAATAAGAAGGTAAATATAAAATGGCAATTAACTGTACAGCACAGGAATTGACACATATGTGCATGCTAGTGTGAAGAAAAAAAAAAAAGAACTGAAATACCACTAACTTCCCATCTAGTAAGTTTCATGTCACACATGAAGTGGCTCAACAAACTGGCTGCAGTAGCAAGTCTTACCTTCTGTCAGACGCAGAGCTGGTGATAAACTTGCATCAGTTCCCACGTCTCCTACTGCTGGTCGGCTCTCGTCATGTCTGCAGTTCAGCCACCAAACTGCCCCTTTAATGTCTCTGTTGTTCTCTGTCACTTATGGCAGCACCATCAGGCTTTTGAGTCTGCAGAAGTCCCGCCCCCTGATGGCTCCATTATGAAACTGTAGCATGAGAGAAGCAGGCTGTCAGTAAAGATGACTGATGTTATCTGGCGTTTAGTCTGAACCAGCGTTTAAGGAACTGAGGATTACTAAAGCAAGCTGTTCTTGTGTTTCTCATGTTTCTCATGAACATCTATGGATGAGACACAACAAACTCAGTCAGCCATTGTTTTATTGAATTTGTCTTTTAACAGGTACTACAAAAACATACAGTGGCATATGCTTATTTTTGTAACATAAAAGCTTTGCACTTTTCATCATAGCATGATACCGATTAACAATGAACTAGATACTGTAGAGATTTACAAACCAAAAAAAAAAAGAAAAAAAAAGTGAAGTGCCCTATAATATTCTGATGTCATCCTGTCACTAGACTTGTGCAATATACTGCTGGAAAAAAGCAATAGAAAGAAAGAATTAAAATGTTGATAGTTTTACATGTAGCTTATTCAATGTGAAAATAACATGACATAAAACTGACAAAAAAATGCATGCAAACTAACATTAGAACAAGAGGTTGTGTATTGAAAAATAAGTAAACCTACTATATGAGCCCTTTGACAAGATGAGTGGACCTAAGGAAAAAAAAACTTTTACCTTTAACCAATCAAGTTTGATCATTTAGATTTTCTTGAGAGACCTGCTCTCATGAGGAAACTGTATTTATTGTACGTATTGTAATTGTCTATTGTAACTTCTACCCTTTTTATCATATACATTTCCAATATCAAAACAACTGTAACTCTGCCATTTGTTCACAAGGTCAGGTGGTGATATAAAGATAGTGAGCACAACGCCTCTGCTGACAACACCGTGGCAGAGAAGTGGTTAATTTTGTAACTAACAGCAAAGAAATCCCTGTAAACAGCTTAAAGTAAATCAAAAATAAAGAATGTTAAAACAATTTGTAAACAATACATCAGCACACAGGAGAAAAGGCCAAGTGAGAAAAACATACTTGTCCCCCTCTTGTAGATTTGCATTCAAACAACAGTTTATCGCTGTTGGTTAACCAAATCTAAACATGGTGTCTTATAATAACAGGTGTTACAGAGAATATGGCCAAAGTGCAGAAGAGTAAACCGTCATGTCTAAGTACCTGGATGTGGAAGAGAGAAAGATGGTGGTCGACATATCAAGCAATCTCCTGAAATACTTCCCTCATACATTACAAAACGCTGACACACTGACTTCACAGCCTCTTCCCCCAGAGCTGAAATACAGTATACTGAATGGTACCTGTGAACGAGCGTAAACACTGGGTCAACAAATGTTATACTGCCCCACTGAGGACAATGAATGCAAATGCATCAGCGATTTAAGATGGGGCTTAGAAATCCGAGCATTACAAATGTGCTTTATATTTTACAAATAGGTTTTAGTCGGAGGGAAACTGAATCCAATAAACACTTTAAAGTACCCTAATCTTTGGGGGAAAAGCAACAAGTCTTACTTTTTAGAGCAGTACTCTGAGAGAAGGGCATTTTAAAGGAAAATTTAAAATACACAGACTTTAGTAATTATAACAAAATATTCAGATAATCAGGTAATTTGTTGGCATCCACACATATAGTGTTTTGAGATCAATTAATAAATTTTCCTCCAAACCAAATCCAGTGGATGTTACGCAATGTAGCACAAGTTTAAATACAAATGTAGGCGGAAAACAGTTTGAGCTATTTAAGAATAAAATAATGTGAAAGTATTAAAAATGATAGTCCTAGAAAAAATTCTGACAAATACAAGCAGATAACATAAAATGCTCTCTCCAATAATAGCCTACTTTACCAGCATTAGTATAAAGGCTTCATCGGTGAATCTCTTGTTATTTGATCTGAATCCAGAGATGAAAACAGAAGGCATAGTCTCATGAAAATACATGGGAAATTTTTTGTTTTTGATTCTAGGTTTGATTGCAAATCTCTCTGTGCATTTCTGAACCACATACAACCTGGAATGTGGAATATGTGATTAGGAGGCTCTAAGACTTAAGTTTTAAGTTTCAGTAAACTATGAATTTCAGCATAAGTGATTCAAGCTCAGGGATCAAACACAAAAGATGTGCTGTTGAGTGGCAACGGGGAAAAAAAAAAATATATATATATACATATATTTTTATATAAAGACAAACGATTATAAGACATTTAAGAAAGGAACTGGGGGCAGAGAAAGCACAAAAAAGTGAATCACAATGAAAACAAGAGTAAAAAAAAAAATACAATCATTCCTTCAACTATTAAAAGATCACAGCCATGTTTTCAAAATACTGATTCGGACTGCAAATGTTGAGTTTGGCATCGGAGGAGGAAGATATATAAGACAGGTGTACTGTTTTGGCCATCACATAGACAAACAAGGATACTGCAATTATAGCATTTACAAAAAAAATGGCAGGAATACTGATAGAAAGCCCATTAGGCCTTTAAAGTTTTGGTTCTTTGATGCGATTTGACTCAAAATTTTTAATAAAGTTGATTGTTCCAGCTTTGATGCGGAGACCAACTCCAAGAATTCCTTAGGAAAAAAAAATCCCTTTTATAATTGCAACACATTACTCGTGTGTGGAGGTGACCTCTTTGTCTTCAGACGGCAGCCACATGGCCTGGAAAGGTGCTTCAGCTTAAGGTCAGTTATCCTCCTCATCATCGCTGACGAAGCTCCGTCCGTCCTGACTCGTCTCTCTCTCCCTGAGGAAGGTCTGTCTGATCGCCTCCAGCTCGGTCAGCTCCAGGCGGACTTTCTCCAGGTGGAAGGAGCGGCGGTTCTGGATTTGCCTCAAGGGGAACGGGTTCATGTCCACAAAAGCGATGCTCATCAGCTTCCTGGACAAAGAAAAACAGAAATGAAAAAAGGCGGTCCTGTCAGTCTGGGATAGTTCTCTATTGTTCTGCATGCTCTGTGCTGTGCACATGTGCTGAATTTTACATGCTGTTGTCCCTGTTTGTTTTTATACACCAGTCACACAGCAAGAAGATATGATCAGCTACTCTATTGTTAGCTATATTGCTCCTTAACACTGCAGACACACTGCTATCAGAAATGTCATGCTTAGGCTTATACGCACGACCACGACTACCAAAACAAAACTGTAGTTACTGTACCGTGAATCCAGGATTGTGCTTGTGAAGTATCGAAGATATTTGAAGATGGCTGTGGAATCCTGCAACTTCAAAAACTCTTCCTCTTTGTACTTGAAGAGAGCGAGGGCGAAGCGAAATATGATCTGTGGAGGGAAATTATCAAAGCTGTGAAATTCATGACTTTCCTTGTGTGACCGTATAATCATCAAAAATATACACTATGTCAGTGCAAGAGTTTGGTTCTGCTGCCTCTAAGAGGCCAAAAAGAAGTTAGTGCAGGTTTAATGCTGTATTGATTTTCTTAGAAACTCACACAATTGGCTATTTTATTTTATTAATGGCTTTCAGCAGACACGTAGCAAAATTAGCATTCATTTGAAGTCATGTTTGTGTCAACCTGGCAAATTCAAGTCCAATACCAATACTCCTTTTGGTTGCGCACAGTGGGTGATAATTTCGTCTAGGTTCACAACTTCGAGTGACCGTTCTTCAATTACACATAGACATTTGATCCATTGTTAATAAAAAAAAATGATAAAGAGTGGAGCTTTATTTTTCAATATCTATAACCGCTCCTCATCAGGCTCACAGAGGTCTGACGTTTATTCAAACAAATGCTGGTAAGATAAGGTTGGAGACATAGTGGGCCGAACCACCAAATATTCACTTGTGGGAACTTGTTTACACCCAAACAGAAAACTAATCAGACATTTCAATTTAATCTCAATCTATGTTAAAAATTCTCCTTATCTAAGTTTTTCAGTTTTCTTCAAAGCTCTGTGAGCAAGCCCGGACAGAAATCTTTCTCCTCTAACTCTTACCTTTGGACCTTCATACAGAAAAGCATCCCAGATCTTGAAGAGGATGTCGCTCACCACGCTGTCCACAAACACCACCAGGAACCAGTTGAAGGTGATAAGGGAGAAGTCTACCTTGTACTGCTCAAAATGGGCATGAAGCCGGGGCAGCTTCTCGCTCATCAGGTCCTTAAACACACGCTGGTCAACCTGCACAGACACAAGCAAGATAAATTTGTTTTTGTTTCGTTTTTTTTTTTTTTTTTTTTTACTGCTAAGAGACCTTTATTTTTACAGCAGGGGGAGAACATGAGAAAAAATCCAGCAGGGCGAAAGGCAGCAAATAGTGCTGACCACTACACTGCATTCCTGCTCTGCTAAATCATGAGCAGCAGGCTCAGTCATATGAATATGACATCACGGACACCAAAGAAACCTGTTAACTCTGGTAAGGAGGCAGCAACTTGTCCCTGTGTTCCCCAGTGTTGCAATATAACCTTTGAGTTTGTTTACCTGCGAGCCAAGCAGGGTCTTGGTATAATAGTCTCTTGGCATGAAGACTTCCACAATGGCTATAAGGCTCCAGAAGGCGTCCTCTTGGTCCAGATAGAGCAAAGCGATGGCGGCCAGCCTAAGGGAATAGCATGCAATAAAATTAATGGTCACCAAGGCGTAACAGGAGAGAAGGAGAGAAACCAGATCCTCCAGTACCTGTTTAGTCCCTGACAGTAGCCGATATCTGGATTCCTCCAGGAGAAAGCCATTAGGACGTTCCTGAGTTTCTGGATGCCGCCTGCACTCGGGGAGGCGTAGTGCTTGTTGTTGGGCAAAGTACGCAGCAAGTCCAACTCGATCTGCTTGGAGGCTGGGTTGGGCTTCTCCCGGGCCACATTCAGTAAGGTCTCATAATAGTCTGGTGCCAAGTGGTCCCGGAACTTCTTGACATGGAAGGAGACACACCAGCGCCACACCTGGGAGCGGTGCTCGTGGGGCACGCCGCAGCGAATCAGGGCTTTGAGCTCAGGGGAGCGCAGCAGGTCTCTGTTCATGGTGCTGGCCAGATAGTTCTCCCACTTTACTCCAACAGACACCTCCTGATTTGTCATGGACAGGGACTTCAGCTCCAAGGCTCTCACCTTTGCAACCAGCTTCTCCTCCTCTTCTTCTTCCTCAGGCACCGTCTTGAAGCCATACACGTCATACTCACTAACGTTGAATCAAAGCAGAGAGAAGATGAAGAAACATTATCAATACATCTTGACAGCCCGCCTTCAGTCTTACATCACATAGAAATTTCCTACATTTCTAACAGTTCATTTTGACACGCTACAAAAGGACGTGCCTGAGCTTGCACATAAGTCAGAGACACAAATTAGCAGAGCTAGTTTTTCCAGACAAAGAAATTTGTAACAGCTATCAATCAAAGTAAAACAGGTCTTGTGACTGTTGCATCTAGGTCTATTAAGGCAACTGTTTCAACACCGGCATCTCTTTCTCTGCGATGGATTTTCCCTTGATTTGTTGCAGAATCTGGTAAAACTGCCATTTCCACATATTTGATAGTGAGGGACTGACAATAGATTATTTCTGCAACACTACAGTGTAGCTGTGCTTGAAAATCCTCATGCTCTTATGACTTAACAATATTTAAGTTAAAGATATCTAAATTTAATTTAATTTTGTGCTTTCATTTTCTATTTTGCAAAGGGTTCAAATGTAACCTAAATAACAATATGGACAAAACACAAAGGCACCTATTCACAAGGCTTTTTGCACAGTCCCTACCTGACGGTGTTCGGCTTGAAGATGGGGTGCTCTTGCTGGTCGGGGCCCTCCGCCTGCAGTGCATCCTCTAATAATCTGGAAATGACCTCGCGAGCAGGGCTCTGCTCTGATGACGAACACACTGGGGTTTTCACTTCTTGAAGCAGCACCAGATACTTACTCTCCACCTGACACAGCTTGGCCTCCAGGGCCGTGTACTGCAGCAAAGAGAGAAGGAGAGGGTTACGGCAAAGTTTCGGCTTGGTATTCATTTTTTCTGTTTTGTGTTTTGGTTTAGGGGGCATGAGCTGAGGTCGTCCCTTAGCTGGACTTCCCCTAAAGTTACTCAGACTTCCTGTTTCTGTTAAGTAACGCACCATTAACCAACAAACACAAGATGGTACCTTTGCCTCTAGAGCTTTTTCTCTACTCTCTGCGTTTCTGCGTAATACTGTCAGCTCTAGGATCTCTTTGTTCAGGAACTTGTTCTGGGATTTGTAGCCTTGAAGACTGTCCTGAAAGTGAAAAACAAACAGTATGTCTGGTTAATCAGTGAGAACTGAACCACAGCATAAACAAACCGTGAAAAAAAAAAACAATCTTGTGATAAACTGACGCTCAAGAAATGAATGACACGATATAAACTTTTCCACTAGTTCCACAATCACATTCAGCTGCCTGTTAAGAATGAGTCCTTCATGTTCTTATAATGAGCAGCTTTATTGTTTCTATCAGCTATAAACTGTGTTTAAGCTTTGTCTTCTGAACCTTGAGGATGTCCAGCTCCTGCTGCTCTTTGTTGGGAGGTAGTGAACTGGCATCATTTGGATTTCCACTCTGCTCTGAGCTCTGCTGCGACAGCTTTATGATGACTTCATCCTTAGCCTGGATGGTCTCCATCAGCATCCCCAGCTGGTCATTAATCTCTCCCACTTTAATCTTCAGGCCCTTCAGCTCCTGCTGCAGGCTGTCCTTCTCCAAAGCAAGACGCTCCATGTGGCCACACAGGGACTGGATCTGCCCATCTCTTTCTTGAAGCAGGGTTTCCAGCTGGGTGATTTCTTCCTGGGTTACTACCTGCACCTGGGCCTGGTCTGAGGCTGGAGATGAATCTGGAGCCGCGGCTGGGCGGTGCACTGTCGGCCTATCACACTGAGACGTCCTTAGAGTCTGCTGCAGAAGCCTCACCAGTTCCTGGTTGATAAAAGACAATTTGCCTGGTCAACACATAAACTTGCAGGCTCAGGATTATGTCTTAAAATGAAGTTGCCTGATTCACAGAAAACATGGGTTTGTTGAACTGAATTATTTTTTTCCTTATGGGGTAAAGTCATTAATCAGAATCTGCTTGATTGGCCAAGTATGTGGACACATACAAGGAATTTGTCTCCGGTTTTACAATGCTGGTTGGTACATACATATATATATATATATATATATATATACACACAATTAATTAAAAAGTAAAGCTGTATATTCTGCTTACTGACTTTTTACTTGCTTAACTGCTGATCATATTTACTATGGATTAAATTCTAATTATATTTCTTCATTTTTTATTCTTAACCCGGCTGCGTAAACAGGCTTAGTAAATATTGAGAGTACAAGTTCCATATTGTCTTAAGTTATCAACTTGTATACTGATGTTTTAAGTCATACAATATGGTTTATAATCTGTGACTAATTACCACAGACTAGTCGCATTCCACAATTTTACAATATGTAAGAAAAAAGTGTCATCTGTCAGACACAATTTCACAGCCTGTTACTGACCCTCTAGTCCAACTACAGAACGTACTACACAAGGAAATAAATGTTTAAAAAAAAAAAAAAAAAAAAAAAAAAAAAAAGATTTGTCCTTCAAACAAACATCTGTGCCAGTTCACACTGGTTAGTCATGTCCCAATGAGTTGGGACATGACGAACACATTATAACAATTTCTCTCAGTGAAAAAAAGACACTATTTGAAAGTGAAAGCCAATATATTTAGTGCGGCTTTTGTTCAGGCCATCGTTTCCTACCTATACTAATTCTGAGATCAGTAAGGATAAAGATCTGGAGGCCACAGCCACACTGACCCTAATGCCCAGATAACCCGCCTCATTCAGTTCAATAACAAAAAGTCTGCCATAGCTATGTACGTCATTAAATATGCTGCACTGAGAAAATGTGGCCAGTGTGCTGATACTCGGCTCACGCATTTGCACTGATGTGTGTGAGACCTGTGCTCACGTAAACACACCCACATGCATCTGGTCACAGAGATGCAGACAAGGTAACTGTGACATACAATACAGTACAGCAACAATATACAATTTTCATTGGCAACCATTTTCCTTCAAAAGTAGAAAATGCTGAAAACTGTCCACAGCTAGGTGTGTGGATTAAAATGAGTGACACCAACATAGTTTCTTTCAGGAAACATTTTACAAATGTTATATTTAAACAGTATTAGTATCTTCCCATGCTATGTGGATGAACTTAACTTACCCTTAAATAAAAGAATAATGTGACTACTAAATTCAGCCTTGGCCCAATATTACCTGGAGGGCATAAATAATATTAACAATAAAGTCAGCTTTGTACCACTTGACCTGAACACTGGCTGAATATTTCCAACAGCAGTTACAGAGTCAAGCAGCTGAATCAGTGACTCAGAGTTCTTCAGCAACTTCCTGCCAAATTTAGAGCTGGCACTCAAAGGCTTCACAGCAGAAGCATACACAGATATATTATTTATTCATCTGGCCAGTGCTGCAGCCATTGCGACCAATCAGCTAGTCTAAAAAACACTAAAACAAGAACAGAGACTAACTGCAGGGAACGGCACAGCTGTGACTGTTGTTAGGAGAACCGCTCTTCCCTTATTTCTTGTTTAAGCATGACTAAACATTTGCTGTCTTCCTGTATCAGTGAGAGCATCGGAATGACACCATAACCTCAGGCTTGTGCCTCATTCACTGAAATCAGAGTTAAAGCACTCCACTCTCCAGTGTGGACAATTCACACATTATGAAGACAAATCCTGGCACTTTACAGTTTAAAATGTAAAAGTGTGTCACTGTGAAGACCAATAAATCTCAGCTACATTCATGTATAGATATTACACTTATTGTAAACAAGCCCACTGGTAAGATGACTGGTTGGACGGGAAAGCTTTAAGGCACCAAACTTGGAACTTGCACATGTACAGCTGGGCTGACAGGAAGGCCATTAGTTTTGTTGGTATTTTGTCATAAGCCAAAGTATGAGATAAACTGAAGTTTTGACCTGATAATGGTACTAAATGAAAAGTTAAAGGACCACCAAAGTGAATATTCTTCATCCTGAGATGGGGGATGAATATGTGTTCGACATTCAAGGGCAACCCATCCCGTAACTGAAGTAATTCAGGACCAAAGCGGTCTAAAAATGCTACGTCCTGGTGGTATAGGAGCCCCCCATACAACACTCGTCTGGAATGATGATGAGTGTATTGCATTCCCTTTTAAAACGCTACTGCATTGGTTGAATTGACGACAGTGAGAAAAATCTGTACCTTCTGACTGGCCAGCTCCTCTCTGAGTTTGGCCTGCTCCTGCTGCATGCGGCTCAGCTCTTCCTGCTGGCTCTGGAGGCGCAGCTGCATCTCCAAAGGTTTGCTTCCATTGCACTCCACTGGGGAGCTCTCAGAGCTCCGCGTCTCAACGTTGCGCCCAAACCTCCCAGAGCCCATCATGTCTCGAAGCAAAGGCCTCTTAGGCCGCGCCGAGTTGCGCACGAAGTCGAAAGTAAACGCTGATCCGAAGGAATCTGAGAGAGAGAAGAGAATTTAATCACTTGCTGCCTGTAATCCCCACCTATAGTTTTAAACTGTATGTGTAGGAAACAGATGTGAACAATAATAAATCATAAAAGTGCCTCCAAGGGCTGGATGCATTGTTTGTCCAGTAGTTATAGTGATAATACAAGTCACAAAACACGCCTTCTCTGTGGGGATGTAAGCTGAGTATAAGTATTAAACCCCTCGCTAGGAGGTGGGTGGCTGAGGCAGCAGGAAGTCGACGTACGTCTGTGAGTGTCTTGATGATGTTTCTGTTCAGGGAAATCCTTGGGCGGGGCATCCACCAGCTCCCACTCCTCTGTGCTGTTGTTACTGGTGTAAAACACACTGCGCCTGCTCTCCACTCCTCGGCCCTGCCGCAGATAAGACATGGAGTTCCTGACAGAACAGAAACCAGACAGGAGGGTGAGTAAGACCAAGACTGCGGAGCTTCAGTGTTGTGCTGGGCATTTAAATGACCGCTGCTATGTAAAAGCTTTTCAAATCCGCATCCATCAAGGACACACTGCAGGGAAGCCTGGTGCTCTGCTACTTTGTAAGTGGTAACATAAGCACAAAAGCTTTCTCTGTTGAAGTATTTACACAACAACTCAAGAACCACAGAACTGCAGTTATAGAGAAATAAAAAAAAAATTGATTTGAATACTAAGCAAAAATATCATTAAAAAAATAAAAATGAAGCTGTTAATCTGAAGAATGGAGGCATTCTTACATGTTCTTACAAGACTTAAACTGACCACAACTCTACTGTGTGACAGACCCATGTTTCTCACCCTTCTAAATATAAGATGGCTGCAAACACATGAAATTAATTTGGTTTAGCCGTGCACGGCAGAACGATGTTCTCACCTGCCTCACGCCTTCATCTATGTGTTTCAGACGTCCGACACACTTTCACTTCACAGAACAGACACACTTCAATTTCAGTAAATGCAGCCGTCTGCAGAGGCCACGTAGTGACAATTCACACCAAATTCACGCTTTATGAGCATGCAACCCTGAGAATCTTTTAACATCACGGCTCTGCTGTTACAGTGACATTCTTGAGCTTTAGCTGCTTCTGCTCACATCATGAGCAAAAAGTGCAGAAACTGCCTTTGGTAAACTTACAGATTAAGACACAGAGCAGGTACAGGTCACGGGTTAGCTGCTCTACTAGTTGCTGCATGTGTTTTTATCTCCTTTTGCCTTTTAAAATACAGAAAGCAGACAGGCTGGTATGTAGGCGCGTTATCTGGAGGAGTAAGCAGCATTGCAGCTGAATTGAATTGCTCCAAGATTCCTGTGCACCTTTATAAGTGAACTCTCTTTCCATCATGGATACAAAGCAAATTCCAATCCGCATATCGCATTTTTAGCATTTCAGTGTGTCGTATCGCTTGAATAGAGGTGTTGTCTGGCCCAGAGGGGGAAACTGCTGATGGATACTAGAGCAACTAGTACTACTAGAACCATGGATGTTACCATCTCCTCTACTGCAGGTTCTTCTTCAGGAAGAACTGAAGAGGTATTTAGTTTCCCCACTACAGCTCTATTGGGGCTCACACTGTAGCAGACCAACTAGTTGCGCCTGTTTAGCAGGGACTCAAAACAAAGACTTGTGCACACAGTTCTTTTTTTTGTCTTTTAGCCTCACCTGAGTTCTGTACCAATGTTTTTGAGTGAGTTGAGGGGGTTTGTGGACGCAGCAGAGGGTCCTCGGGCCGACTGGATCCCTACCATTCCCCCGCCATCTGTTTCCGTCTCCATGGCAAAGTCGCTGCGGACCTTCTCCATGCTGTCACTTAGCTTTTCAAAAATGATGCTATCTGAAAACACAACACAGAGAAACTAGAATAACATCATAATAATACAGCATTACTCATATCACCACTACTTCTTATTTTACTAAGGCCCTGGGTGTATCTATTGTTTGTAGAGGAAATGAGACTGTAGTGACCCTGGATGGGTTCCAGAATAAAGTGAAGCAATATTTGGAGTTACCCAGAATGCTATTTAGAGCAAAAAGGATGCCTGTGGGCAGCTCGCTAACCATCAAAAAATATAGTATGTAGCATTTCTAAGCCCAGATTGCTAAATATACAGTTTCCCCTTTGTATGAAATTAGCTGAAAAAAGAAAGTGTGGGAATATTTTATAAAGAGGCCGAGCAGCTGCACTGGCAGCCATCGACACACAGCCGACAAAGACAACGATCAGACACCTTTAGCTCTTTGAATCTGCATAGTCAGAACAGGAAACAAATCCTTTTAACATCCTGAAACCTGTGCCAGCTTTAATCAGTACAGAAAATTAGTCAATGGCTGCACATGTCACAGTTTGTCTGCGCTTTCTGTGTCTCAGCCTTTGCAGTGAGTAGCTATTACTACTGTAAAAAAAAAACATGTTAATCTCCTATCGTCATTCGAACAGAGCTAACTAAAACATTTAATGGCCTCTTCACAGCTAAGGGGAAAATTCCAGTTAAGGAGACATTTCATTGGTCCATCCACACATTTCATCACTGCTCACTGACAAAAGCTCAAGGACTACTTAGACTGAAATAACCCAGGATGTGGAAAAAATGCATAAAAACTAAATATCCAAGTATTTTGTTTTTAGGAATGATTAGTTTTTGTAGGATTGGTGATGTGACGTCACATTTGTCTTGTAAGAGGCTGATTGATTTTGATAGAATCAAGTATCAGAATATTTTTTGACTATATTGATACTGATAATGTGGGTATTTCTGTACACTTAGAGCATTGAAGAAAAAAGAAAAAAAAACATTAGCGGTGCAAATGATGGCAGGAAAAGGAAGAGGCATTCACAGTTCACTTATCAAGAACAGTGAAAACAAGTCACACCACCTCACAGACCGGGAAAACAAAGAGCTATTTCTTGACTTAATGATAACAACATTCTCATACAATGTCTTGCCTTAGTATAATATTAATCTTCCATTCCCCGTGTTTGTGTACTACTTGCATTTATCTGAGCCTCAGCTGTAAGTGTCTTATTAGCTAATATAGGTGTCTGGCAACTTTTCTTTTTCATGACAACCAGCACTATTTGAAAATGAAGAAATATCTGATGTAACTAGCTGCATTCAAGATTTATTATGGATCGTACACAGAGAACTTAGGTTCATCTACTCCTACTAAAAAATGCATTTTATTATAATTCTAATAAGTGATGTCTTTGAGGTTTTTTGGGGAAACTGACAGAAACCAAGTCTCAGAACAGCCTCATATCCAAGAAATTAAAATTTAGTGCAACATGTTACTTAAAATGACTTTTACTCAACATTTCTCCCACTCAACTAACCTGTCGTACTTCATAAAAGGTCAAGAGTCAACACCTAGAATGAGAATAATTCACAACAGCATCATTATAAAAAGCAACACCAGCAACTGCTCAGCAAACACAGCTCCCCATGAAGGACCACAAAACAAAACCAAACTCTGGTACACACACACTCTGCACACGACCAGGCATGATAGCTCATTTTGGTCACAACTATTAGAGCAATTGATACACATGCTGGCTGATAGTGAGTTGCACCGGTTGGTTCACGAGTAAGCAGGACACCAATGTTATGATGAAAGTGATAGGTTAGTAATGTTACACTGTATAAATATAGTGGACTGTTAAACGCTGAGGGATGTTGAAACCAGCAATCAGTACGCAGAGTAAGATTTCTGTCTCTTCAGGTGCACTAAGATAAAAACACACGCCAGATAAAGTAGCCGTGAACTCTTTTCCTTTGTCCTTTGTTGATTTCTCATTTAATCAGCGCTTAACACAACCACTCCTACGTACTATTTGTGTAGAAACTTTGGAACATGGCAATAAAAAAGCTTGACTTGTGTTTGCAGCACTTGTGTCAACATTAATCCGTCAGATACAGGTGTTTACTTTCAGCTGGTGCCTGGATGTGATGAAACAGAGCAGGGAAAATTAGTGTCCACGTTGAACATTAGCACTGTATGTATGCGTGTGTGTGTGTGTGTGTGTACCTGCATACCATTTTCTTTGCCTACAAGGCCAGTGGGAGGGTGGGCCAGGGTCGGGGAGCTCCAGCTGTCTCTCTGGCCGGAGCCTCGTGTGTTGCTGTACTCCCAGCGCTTCTGCTGCAACTGCTGGAGCCAGTAATGCATCACCTGCCTGCTGGGGGCCTAGAAACACAAACACACACAAACCAAGCCACATAAACAAGGTTACTGACTTGCATGGATAAAAATAAGAGAGCTATTGTAAGCATGTTAAGTGCTGATACAAATCATATCAGAGGATTTCAAAGGTTAAATGGTAACTCAAACATCAATGTGAATGATGTGACACTTTGGCTGTAAACATGATAACAGCTGTGAAGTAAAATAAAACATGAAACAGTCTAAAACCCCTTTTAATAGCAGGTTACTATGAAGATAGGTCATGTGAACGAGCACAGACGCTGGTTTCGGTCTCAGTTCCAGCCTCGGGCCATGCAAGCTGTTTGGTATTAACCATTCACACCATCTGCTGGAAAACTGTGCCAGCTTTTAGCAGGCAGCCAGGCTAAGGGAAACCTGAGGCACCTGTTTTGGCACTGAAGCCATCACAGTCATATGACAAAAAAGAAGACCATCACACGAGATGTTGTGATCCTTTGCGGAGCTGAGGTGTCGTGAGGAGTGACAACTGAAAGAAGAATGTGCATTTAAATCATTTAAGCATAAAAACAGAGGGCTGAGAGTGTGTAGCAGCTGAATAATGTGCTGATGAAGCTCTTGTCTGATAAACATGAACCACATATATAAGTGATTTTTTTATTTTTTCACACCAGCTTTTCTTAAAAGGTGATTGAACATTGTCAAATCACGTCCCTGTCAGCAGAAATATTTACATTCTGCTAAAAGCCAAGCTCAGGATAAATCCGTGAAGTTAGAATGGGTGTGTCTGCCTGTTCCACAATGAGAAAAGGAAGTGACAAATGACAGCAAAACAGACTCAAAACAGTCACCCCCACACACACACACACATACATACATACACACACGCTGGAAAGTTTATACCTTCAGGGGGAACTCCTTCCCGGCCGTGCGGATCTCAAACTGACCCTCTTCCCCCTCCACGTCGTAACAGAAGGACGCATCGCCTATTTCGATGTGTCCGAGTGGCAAGGCATCTTGGGGAGTCTTGAAGTAATACAAGTAACATTTCCTCGGATCATACACGAACCACCTCGGCTTGTACCCTCTCAGGGGCCCCTTGCCGGACAGTTTGTTCAAGTAGCCGCACAGCTTGGAGGGCTGCTCCTTCGCGCCCTCGACCTCGGCCACATCCACAGACTTGGTGGCCACAATCCGCGAAGCTGTGCAGGAGTTTGCCTCGCTGCCATCCTCCTCTTCGTGCATCTTTCCTCGAAGTTTCTTCTTCGTGCAGCGCAGCGGATGCCCACTGCTGTTTCCATCCGCATGACTGCCTGCCTCCTGGACAAGGGGAGCACGGGAAATGTAGTTTATTTTCAAAGCTGCGGTGCGTGTGTGTGTGTGCGTGTGTGTACGCGTGTTAGGCAGGAGCACCGCTGGGTGGTGGTGTTTGACAAGATGAGCAACATGAGGATACACCCCAGCTCTGAGGGAGAATGGTGCAACAGTCCTGCTACAAATGGTGAGATACTGAAACGCTTTCATTTAGAAACAAACAAAACTGAAAAAACAAACCATCACAAGTTGATGGTGTTCAATTGCATTTATTTTGTTTTGTTTATTCATTTATTTAATGGGGACGATGCAATTTAACATAGTTCCAATACATAGCATGAAACTGATGTGTTGCACAGAGTTTATAGCTATTGCTAATTTTCAACCTTTGTCTCAAGTTGGGCTTTTACATGCACAGGCTAATTAAAATAGTCAGTAGTCATTACTATATAGAGGATTAGGGCCACATGTACTTTTTTTAAATTGTTATTATTTAGAATTCTGACTTTCAAAATACAGGAGAGTAAAATACTATATTGAAATGCATTGGTTGTGATGTGTAGTCTAAGAAGACACAACAACTACAGCAAAAAAACAAACAAACAATCAGCTAAATACAATTAGCTAAAAATAAAATATACAGATATACAGTCTAAAAAGAGACAGCAACAGCAAAACAAACAGACAAATAGTCAAACAAAAACAATCAACATATATCATTCTTAATTAGATACAATGAGATACAACTGGATCAGTCTTAAAGGGCAGATTGGGGCAAAAAATTTGCTGCTGGGCCCCTGTTGAAACTCCACCTCTGTGTGTAATGTCATATTCCATTACATACAGTGCAGCCCATGGCAGTTTCAATAAATGCCCCCAATTACAAATCCTGCATTTCAAATCGGACTTATGTAAAACTACACAAGTAATATGAGCACAATGTACTTCAGGTATCAAAAGGAAAATGAATTGTTTGACAGAATGAATCCTGTTGGTGTTAGGGTTAGTGTTATATAGTGTTATAATATTATCGAAGCTTATTTTAAGAGCTTTGCTTTTGGGTAGTTTAATCTAAATCATCCAATTAATCTGATAGTTATATCTGTGAAATAAGTGTGCTGTATTGAATAGTACAATATATGACTCTGAAATGTAGTGGGGTAGATGTATAAAGTAGCAAAAGGCGACAGTTGCAAGTATCTCATAATTGTACTCAGGTGCAGTATTTGAGTAAATGTGCTTAGTTACATCCCATTATTGACCACGAGTTGTCCTGTGCTGAAATGATACAGGTCTTTTGTGTGTTAATTGGTTTATGGTCATTTGATTAAATACAACATTATTTAGGAATGTGCACCATGTGAGCACAATATCAACTAACAAGATGAGGTAATAACGCAGGACTCATCTTGGTTTACATTGACAACCAATTGACTGCACCTCTGTGGCACTAGTGGCTTAGATGCCTATGGGCAGTTTCCTGCTTTGCTCTTGGTAATCCAGCCTGGCAGGTTGCAATCATCATATCTCCAGTGATGTTCATGCTTACAAATAAGTTGAAGTCGTCTACAGGCTGAGAAAAGTCGATCTAATGTTAAAATGATCAAGTCTTAATCTGCAGCATAACCTGTAACTTTGCACCCATAGATAAATTAAATAAAGCAAAAAAATACGATACTGGGTGTTTTGGTATCCTCGTGGTTAAGACACATACCATATAACCACAACATGCCTGCTTTGTTGCATGTCATACTCCTCTCCCTCCCCACGTTTTCCTGTTTGTACTGTACCTATACTATCAATTTATCCAATAAAAGCAAAAATGCCCCAAAAAATCTTTATACCTTAAAAAAATGACTCCCAGTATGAAATAATTCAATGAAATTCCACTCCTCATGCTCTTTGTAAGACCTACAGTATATTGATCAGTAAATCAATCTAGTCACCAGCTGTTTTAACTCTGATGTATAATGTGTGACGTTGTCATGTGCTTAACTATATGTTATTCACAGTGTGACTCATACATTAACACTAAGACAACGCAACTGACAACTATGAGACACCAGAGTTTAGCCCGTTAAAAAGGCCCCTGTCGGCCCCAGAGATGAGTGAACTGTTCAAGATGCTTCAGGCTGATTGATGGTGGCAGATCTGAACGTGTTATAACATGATGTATGTGAGTCCCAGCGGGTAAACAGCAGATGGATGGTCTCATGCTTGGAAGTACACCTATTATTATACAGGAAGTTGGAGCTTTTTTATTTTTCAAATAACTGCAGTACAGTAGAACCCCCAAACAACCTCTGATAACTAACTGTAACATGTAACGTTTTGATTCAGGTTGCAGTAATGTTTTTGGTGAGATACGTAATTATGTTGTTTGTGAGGATGCAGGTTTTGCCCTGAATTTTAAAGGAAAGTGTAAGCAAAAGTGAGGTGGTTCAGTTGTAATGACATTTTACAGATGTCAACTGACTTGTGACCTTTCAAAGACCCACATCCCCTTCATCGGTATGTCTCCACAAGACTGAAAAAAAGATCTGAAAGAGCCTTTTGCCTGGTAACTGTCTGATAACTGAAATCTGCTTCATTTTTTTTTAACATCAGTTTACGTCACAGCTACTGCAGAAAAAAATAAATTTATATGTTGTTTACGCACTGTTAACAATTCCTTACACGCACACTAACATTGCCTACTATACACATACAGTAATTGATTCTTTACAAACATGGAATCAGAGATAACGTTTGGCCTCAAACCTGTCCACACCCCCAGAGGAGCACATAATGACTCACAAAGACAGACTCAGGCTGTACCGTTAAGATGATGTTGAAATTCTAGGTCATGGTACTGTATCAATACTTAGTCATATATGGAACATATTATACTGTATGTACTTACTGGGTAAATACTGGCTATGTAGACGGAATATTACCCTATAACTTTAATTTTATTTTATAAACTTTAAACACGTTCAGAACCACACAATCCCAATTTTAGAGACTTTTTTATAACCAGCTGGAAATAGTCAACAGCAGCGGTGTGTCCTCTGCGATCAAAGCTGGAGCAATGTTAACATTGGGGAGCGCTGAAATCCAGTCTCATCCCGCTCAGTATGACACAGACTGTTTCTGGTTATTGTCTCTCCCCCACAGGGAGTTCCTAGTGCTCACCACAGAGCCGAAACCGATGGAGGATTTATGAGAACCGTCTTAGCAATGGGGGGTATGAGTTAGCCATTATTTATGACAAACTCAGAGCCAATGCTGGGAAATATCTGAGTTTGTTCGGGCTTTGTTTATGCCCTCCAAAATCTCTGCAAGTCTTCCCAGATATTTCCAACCGTTCATACATTCATTCCTGCCATCAGAATTTACTGCACACGCCAATCAGAAAACACAAACCATCAACTTCTGACGCAACTTAGCTCCCATTACTATAGTAATCAGACAATCTGTGGGTAAAACATCTCCTCTTGCAAACCAATGCACTCATGTGCACACAAACCACAATTTCTGAACTGCTTACTTTCCGTTTCTATTCAGGAAGCTCTTGTTTTGTTCAGCAGCCCTCAGCCGTCTTTTTTCATGCAAATGAGACGTATGAACTCTGCTGTTGCCGTTGCCAAGCCCCACTGCTTTCCAAGCAGGTGGAAAAAAGTGTGTAATTCTAAATGTCATCTGTCTATATCTCCCATGTAGGTTCGCACTCCCTCAGAAGACTGGAGATTAAGACTGATGAGAAGTTGAGAGAAGCATTTTAATGTTTGCTGAAATGACACCAGGCTCACACCACATACTGTTAACCTCAAGGAAAGGTATGTACTCCATCTGAAACTTATCATGACAGGGTCTGAGCTTTACACTTTAAACAAGAAAAAAATAAGTCAATTTTTATTGTTTTTCTAGGGCTTGAAAGGAATCGGTGCGCACAGTACGGACAACAGAGACCCACATCTGAGAAGATCTTTTCAGGGTCAAGGACAAAGAATCCGAAACATCCAAAATCACCCTCCTTTAGGAACTGTCTGAAGTTTTGCTTCCAGGTAAGAACTATTTCCAACATTGGTCTTATTTACTGCTTTAATAACTAACTTATTTATCACATATCTCTATGCAAAGTACAGTTTGCCTTACATCAGAGTGACATTACAGCAGAGCAGGGCAATGTAAATAAAAGTCTTGAACTGAATGAACAGTGTTATCTTTAGAGTCAGAATGGACTTTGGACATTGTGGATTCTGAATAGATTTTGTTAAATTAAATTGTTATTAAATTAAATCATTATATGTTGTTAATATATAACGGTTAATAAATGTTTACGGTATGTAACTGAAGGTGCACGCATGAGTAACAGTGACTAGAACCAGGTTTTTACTGCTGATGAGAACATTGAGCTGCTTTTACTCCCTGGTTGACACCTCCCGGAAAATAAGCAAATTATTTAAAGTACAGCCTCACTGCATATGTTGGGAAAACAAATGCTGGTTGTCTTCACTGGATGTCTGTGTGGGTTTGATTAGGACCGAGCGAGGATGGAGCAGAGAGAACCGCAGAGGGATTCTCATGCTGACTTAACTGAAGGAAGACTCAGGGAACTGGCATCAAAGTGGTTCATAGAGACTCAAGTGCCACTCATCGTCCACAATGGCTTCTTCCCCACTTGGTTCCTGGGCTTCATCACCAGAAAGTAAGCATTCACTGAGGGAACAGTTTGAAATAATAAATTAATTACTTCTTTTAGTTTACTTTTATTGTAAAAAGTAAGGTATCAGATTCTCTGAAGTGCTGCAGTGCCCTATTTTAATTGAGAGCTTCCTGTTTTTTAATGAAGTTGTTTTTTGACTTTATTTGTCATAATGTAGAAAAAAATATGAGAGGAAATGTACATACTGTAGGCTTATTATTTAATTTAAATATACATATATGTATAAGTCTGAGCGTCCATCAAATGCAGTAATGTTATGATGATATATGAG